CGGGGCTGTGCAAGGCTCGTCCTCTCGGGGCAGCGTGGGATGGCCGCCGCGCCCGCGGGCCTGCTTAGGGGAAGGGCCTGTGTGGCCTCTTGAATTCAGCAGTTGTAGGTCAGTCACCGGAAAAAAACACCCCTCGATCCTAAACATGGTCGAGAGTTCAGTTGTGGGGGAGACCGATCGTTTCCAGGCTGCAAGGGCAAGGGTATGAACGCGTCTCCTCTCAGTGGCATTGGCAGGCACCGTATGAAGCACTGCTGGATCAGCTGAGAAGATCGGGGTTTGACAAAATGGCTCTGTAAAGGGTTGAGCCCAGCCTGCTCCGGCAGAACAGCAGGCGCTGCTCTGGTAGCCTGGCTCTCCTCTGAAGAAAGGTAGCTTGTTCTGCGGCCGTGCCTGGGCTGTAGGGTACCAGCTCTGGTTGTGGATTGGTGAGGAAGAGTTGTCCTCTAGACGGGGGACAATGTGAGGAAGGCAGGGTATGAGCAGCAGCGAGGCTTCCTTCGTGAGCGAGAGCTGCCTGCAAACAGTGCAAGTGTTTCAGTCTGTCACCACCTACACTGACAGACTGATAGCTGGTATTTCCAGATGGAGGTGTGCCACCAAGGCACTTGCTAAGTCTCAGGAAGCTGTGAACATCTTGGTGTGCCTTGTATGCTCCGGCTTCATTGGAGCAGAGCGAGAGACGTTGCCAGTTTTTGTCCTTTTTTAGCCTCAGAAATACTAGGTAGGAGGGGTTTTGTTCTCTTTTTTAAAAATGCACTCATGTTATGCAAAGCAAACATAATTTACATATGTATATTATTTTGGATGATTATAGCAGACCGTTCTGTGCAGCACGTTACTCCACTTTCCAAAGTGCATCCATCACAGTGCTTGATGTTTTCCTCTCATTGCATATGAAGTCTTTTGACTTGACTGCTTACTTTCATCTAGACTCCAGAAAAGATCCATGACACTAGAATGGTATTATTGAAGGTTACAATTTCACTAACAGGGAATGGAGGACA